TATGTATTACATTTTTTCTTTTTCTTTTTTCCTTTGAGTCATGATGCGCTGAGTCAAAAATGTAAATATATATCACATTTTTTCCTCTTTTTTTTCTTTTTCTTTTCTATATATATTATTCATTTCTTCTTGTAACACACGTGTTCTTTGAATTAAGTCTATGAGATATACTCATATACACTCTTACTTTCTCTCTTAGCCCTACAGACAGGCTAACACAAAACGTTCCAGACGGAAGTCATTAGACACAGCTTCTAGTAAGTCTCAGTAAAATGACCATGAAAGTGGTACGAGAAAAGATTTCAACAAAGAAATATTTTCTCTAAAAGTTCTGGATATTAGAACTCAAAAATTATAGTGTGTGCTGAATTATCCTTCGTTACTCTATTCAAATGTATCAAGTACATGAATAATAATATTAATTTTGGTAATTTGCCATAAAATATAAAAATGCTTTTTAGTTTATTTCACTTCTTCAGCAATATTTCTCAAAATGAATATATAAGGTTGTTCATAAAAGACAAAATAAATAAGTTATTGAAATTCGATCAAGATTTACATGAGTATATACAGAAAAAATCAAGATAGATATAACTTTTTCCAAAATGTGTGAAAATAAAATCATATACCTTTTTTTTTCGTACATCTGCTACTATAAAAACTCATCAAACAAGTAAACTTCATTAATAGCAGTGGATAAATGTAGGTTTATATTGTATAGTAACATAAATTCTAAAACATTTATTAATTTACAAAATTTCAGAGAAGCTTTCAAAATTAACAAATAAGAAAAACATTATTTAAAAGTTACGCTTATATATTAGTACAATCAATATACAGAGTATTCTAAATGGACTTAAAACAAGATGGAGACTGAGTATTTAGCGTCATTTAATCACCGATGACCAACAGACAGTTGTGCTACTGCAAGCTATATATATAATGCTCTCTTTGCTAATAGTTCTTCATGTGTACTCTAAAATAATATTTAATCTTTTATAAAGAAGAAAATCAGTTTCATACTTACTTCTTCTCTTAATTTGCCTCGATTTACAACAGCAATTTTTTCAGAATTTTTAATTGTTCATAAACGATGAGCAATTGTTAAACATGTTCGACCTACGCGTGCTTGATCTAATGTTGATTGAACAACTTTTTCGCTTTTATTATCCAATGCTGATGTTGCTTCATCAAGAAGAAGAATTTTTGGATTACGAATTAAAGCTCGAACAATAGCAACTAAAGATATAGCCCGTTCATGAAAAGACGTTCTTTAAAGAAATATTTACTTCGTTGTTTTTGTCCGCCAGGTAACTGACTACCTTCTGCTTCACACATTGTTTCACAGTTGTATTTAAATGATCAGTATTTTTTGTGAACGATCAGTTTGATTTATTGGTCAGTATAAAATTTAGTGTTGAACAATTATTGTATCTTCTTGTTAAATTAATAATAGGAAGGTGTATCTGATTAGATACCGCTGCGAGGAAGGTTAAGTTCGGTGTTCTTGAAAATTCTAATTCTAGAATCGAGTTTTTGAAGTCTTTTGCAACCGTAGAAAGCAACCAAATCATTAAGTTACCAGATATAAGGGTGAGGAGCTCCAAGTTTTTACCCTTAAACACTATCAGATCGTGTTTCACAAAAATAACGATTGATCCACATAGATCTAAGAATTTTCGCGTTCAGCGCCTGATTTAACAATTGCGCTACTTCTGACAGTTGCAAAAGACTTTAAAAACTCGATTCTAGAATTAAGCAAATACAATAATTATTCAACACTAGATTTTATACTGATGAATAAATCAATCTGACTGTTCATAAAAATACTGATCATTTTCATATAATCCATTCTAAAATATAAGAAAACAATAAATAAAATATTTCGAAAATTTGAGAAGTTTCTAAATATATCTGTTCATATGAATATCGCATATTTTATTAGATGAATTTTCAATTAAGAATTGGTTGCTTTATATAGTATCATTCTTTTTATTTCTGTATTGTTTTATTACAAAAATCAAGATACAATTAACCAAGACGATAACGAAATAAAACTGGATGTTTTGCTGATTGTTGTCGTGTACGTATTTCTTCTTTTTCTTGTATGTCTTGATTGCGTCGATTTGTATCAAATTTGTCGAGAACTTGTTGTATAAGTGTATCACTAATTGATTGGGATAAACAAATTTTTGTTGAATCTTCATAAACAATATCAATTTTTTTCCCTTGTAAATGACCAACAAGTGTTACAAGAAATGTATCAAGATCAACCGATCGAGTTGCAAATTCATTTTCGTCTTCATATGCTCGTTTACCTAAACGAGGAGAAAATGCTAATGAATTTTTAGTTGGATAACGATTATTATCACGAGATGGTCTTCGATGTTGAAAATAGGGACGAGATATTGATGCACGTCGATCTCGATTTAACATGTTTAAAAATTGACTTTTAGATAAACATTCCGGCATATTTTCTTGTTTTTTTAATAATGATGACGAAATTTGTCGAGTTTCATCGGATTTATCTTCGTTTTGTTCATCATTGATGATTTCAAATGAGAATATCGTTTGAATAATTGCCAAAATAATAAAGAGGGAAAAAACTATAGAAAAAAAAATACATAATAACTTTATTTTTAATCATTCACTTACTATATGTAGATTGCATGATGTTATTATTCAATTGAATTCAAGATTATATATTGAAATTTCGACAGTAGAATGTTTATAGTGGTGCAATATCTTGAGTATTTATTTGAGAATAAATGCGATGGCGGAAGAAAGATATTAGAGTTCTTATAATATTATTTTCTTTTTATGTACAATGTTCAATGAAACATGCAATGAACCGATTCAATAATTCTTTTTCATTTTAAAGATCTATTTACGTACAGATGAAAGAAAACGCCTCTTCTCTATTTTAATATTGACTAATGGAAGTATTTTTCATGAAAGACAAATCATTAAAAATTAAAATCATGTTGAAAAGAAAGAAATAATTTGATTTATCTTATGCGTAAGTGCATGATAGAATTGAATATATTTTTTATTTATGTTTATACATACACAACGACAATATCAACAAAAAACATACTATTTAATTTTGTAAATAATTTTGAAACGAGAATTGTTGTAAAAATAAGTCTTTTTCTGTCAGAAATTTGACTGCGATTGTTTCTAAATGATTAATAAAATTGGAATTATGTGCTATTTCAAGATTATGTGCAAGTTCATGACAGGTTAATATAAAATAAAAATTAATAATTGTATGTATAATTGGTATCGATGATGATGATGTTGATTGTAAATATGGTTGAACTTTATTAGCAAAAACTTGTTCATAATAACGAAGATTAAAAAATAATGCACGACGATCATTAAAAGCAATGCGTGCTGAAAAATTTAAATAAAAATCGAATTTTCATAAAATAAAATTTCTTTACCTCCATTAATATCTCGATAAAGATGTAAAGTTTCAATAGGTATTTTAAAAACATGATTAGCAAGACCTATTAATATCCAAGCTAATTGTTTTGCTTGATCAAGCATTTTATCTGTAATAACAACATTTCGTTCAACATATAATGGTAATGTATGAAATAATTCTTTGTGACGCGTCATATTCGCTGATGGTACAGCTTCACATGAATGATCAATTTCATCTTTAACATGTTCTTGTTGAATAAATTTTGTTTGTGTATATGCTCGACCTTTTTTTAATATAGAATATAATTTTGTATCATCTTTTATTTGATGATGATTAAAATCTTCAACATGACCAGACATTTCAATATGACTTTCTTGATAATGATGATGATTAGATTGATGTTCTTGTGGAATCATTTGAACAGTCGAACGAATATTTTGTTGATTATGTTGAAGTAAACGATCAACAGGTACACCACGACGTTTAAGTGTTTCTAATGGTGATGCAAGTTTATCACTTATTGTATGAACAATTGTATCAAGTGGTTTTTTAAAAACAAATCGAGCTAATTGACTAGCTATATCAATATAATCAAATTCACGAATATGTTTTTGAAAATATAATGAAACTTTATTTTTATCATGTTCAAGTGCACATGAACTACTATCAGTCGACTAGAATATTAAAAAAAATAGTTTGGAAAAGAATTAACATATTAAATTACTTCAAGTGTAATAGTCTTCTTTTGAAATGTTAATTGACATTGAATACCATCGACTTCATAAACTGATAGATTTGTTCGTAACATATCGATATGTTTCTCATCAAGATTATCCATTTTTTCACCCTAAGAAAAAAAAATTATGATTGAACATGATAATTCATATAATATTTACTCGATTATTAACAAATAACATATCCAGACGATATTGAATTAAATCACGTAATTTATTACCACGATCTGATGTAGCAACTTTACCTTTATGTACTAAAGTTCGTTTTACACATTCTGATAACCATTGAGCACCAAACTTTTCATATAACTTTGTTAATTCTGATTCATCAGGTGGTAACAATGGTTGAAGATCAATAGCACATTGATGATCATCATCAAGATAAATTTCATTGGGTGAAACAATTTTAAACATACGTTGTTTTTCATTATTTGAACGTCTCTCAACTGTTTGATAACCTAAACACCAAGCTTCATTTTTTAATCGTTTTATTAATGTAGCAGATTGTAATTCATTAGATGCATTAGCAAGTTGACGAAGACAACTTGTATAAGCAAGTAATTTTTGTTTTAATTCATTGGAATTATTTCGATTAAGATTTGAAAAATAATCTGCTTGATGATCAATTAATAATTCAGCTAAAACAATTGCAGATGGTTGATGTAATACACCAATACCAAGAAGAAATGAATTTCCTTGCGAACCATAATCAACATAGTCGATTAAACCACTTTTATCTGTATCATCATCCATAATTAATGGAATTGATGAAGTTGTTTTAGTTTTTTTATTTTTTGGTATTGTTGTTTTAACATTTCGTTTCCGACGACGACGACCATTTGTTCGTGTTATTTCATCATCATCGTCATCATTATCTGATGATGATGGTGGAAGAATAACATTTATTTGGCGAAGTCTCGATGATGATGATGTTGCACTATCAGGACGAATAAAAACTTGTGATGGTTTCATAAAATCATCTGTTCCTTGAAGAGGAATAAATGCAAGTTTTGATATACGTTCAATTAATGGTCGACTAAGACCATCAAGTTCATTCATATAAGCAAAAATCTTTGCAGCTGATTGTACACTCAATATATCTTCTTTTTTCTCCATTAATATATCGAAAGCTACTGTTAAAGTTGGACGATCTTTAACACCAAGTAATCCTATATTAAAATGTTCTTCAAACAATTGAACGACATCAGGTAATAATGTTGCACATAATGGACTTTCATCTAAAGAAGAAAAGAAATCAGAGATATATAGAAGAATAAAAAAAAGCAAACCTTTAAAAACTTCTTCCGGTAATGATAATACAAGAGTTTTCGATGATGAATAAGATGGAAGAAATGGTTGTTTAATTTTAGCTGTTTTCCATAGTTTAGAATAATGTTGTTGAAAATTTTCTGCTAAAAATTTTAATGCTATTGGTAATTTATATTCATGAATTGATTTATTCTTCTGTTCATTATGTTCTTCAATAATTCTATTTATTAATTTTTGTAAATCAGGTACTTCACGTACACCAATTTCTTTTAAAAATGCATATTCACGTGAATATGGATCAATATCATGCCAATCTATAATTGGTAATGTTGACCATTGAAGTTGTATAGCAATTGAAGGAAAATGAAGATCTTGTGGAGCATATTTTCTCGTTGTTTCTTTACTTGGTATAAGAGTAGTACCTAAAAAAAACAAAAGAATTAGGAAAATGTATCTATAGAAAAATTATTTTAATTTACCTCGAAGACATTCACTTTGTTTTAATGCATTGAAATCTCCTTCACTCATATTATCTCGTTCTTCCATTAAATGTTCAATTAAAGATTTCATATTATGTGCATTAGAATTTGTTAATGATGATCGTGCATGTACAAATGATTGAACATTTAATGTTCGACAACCTAATCGTTTAAGAAATTCTTCTGATACAGGATTTTCCGTCGTATCAATAATTGATTGTTTATCATCCTCTTGTTCATTATCAGCATCAATTAGATTTTGTGGTACATTTAATGTAATAACAGGTAAATCTGACGAAAGAATTGATGATGGGATATAAGATTCATTCGGTATTTTCATTCCTTGATTTGTTGGTATACATGTCATTGTTGATAATGTTGTTTTTAATTTATTCCATTCTGTTTTATTTAATTGTCCAGAATGTTTCGATATAATACTTAATAAACATGTTGATGTATTTTCTTTCGTAAATAAATATTGTTGAGTTTTAAGTAAATAAAAATGAAGAAAATCTTTTAATGTTAATGGAGTTAATGATAATTGTTTTTGTAATTCATCTCGTGATAGATAAGTAGCTACGCTAGCTGGTAAAACATGTGATGGTAATGGAAGAACTGTTGATATATTAAAATTATCATAATTTTTTAGCTTTTCTAATGTTATTATTGGTGATTGAATTGTTTCACGAAAACGTACAATAGATAATAAACGTTTTATATATTGTTTATCATCATGATGTTGACTAGATAACCAATGGAGAAATTCAACAAATTGATTTGATAAAAGTATTGTTGTTATTATTGTTGATTCAATTAATTCATTATTAACTTCAATGATTAAATCACGATCTTTTAAAGATTGAAATAAACCATTTTGACTTAATTCATATGGTACAAGTGGTAACGAAAGAAATGAATGAATATATTTTGAATTTGCTATATACGCTTCTGTTGATGATACAAGTGAAAGATTAATATCACTTGGTGATCGTTTAACAGGAACAAGTAAATCTTTATTTGAAGAAAAAAATCCATCGAGAAGAATTGTACCAATTTCATTATTTGGTACCGATGGTTGAAATGAATAGGAAGCAAGTGTTGATTGAAATTGTTTATTTTCATTCATTAATTGATCATAAACAAATCTTGCTATTTGTCCAACAGATAAAAGTAATTCTCTATTCCATTTAGATATATATGGATCTTGTAAATCAAGATTTTCTCTTTCAATTGTTGGAATTAAATGACTATAAACATGCATTCCTATTCCCGTTGTTTGATGTGTACCAAGACCAATAAAAATTAATCCCGATGGGTAAATATCATTATTTTGAAATTTTAATGGTATTAAAGAATTAAGAATTTTCATATTAAGATTATTATTTGTTGATACTTGTTGTTGTTGTTTCATTATAACATTATTCGGAGCATATAAAAGTTGAATTTGAACACATGGTGGTAAACTTTTTTTTAATATTCGTCGAATATGATTATGATAATTATCATCAATAATTAATGTTGCATCAACAGATATATGATTTAATGTTATTGATGGACCATGATCAATCGAAAAGGTTTGTTCTGTTTGAGTAAATGTATCGAGACGTAACATATTATGAATAGAATTTTTTTTAAATTGTAAATTAGATTTCGTTGATGGAATTTTCTTTTTTGTTTTTGTTACTTTAAAAATTATTTTTTGATTAATTTTTATAATAAGTTCATTGATATATTTTGTAAATGATAAAACTAAAATAGAATTTCAATAATTTTTTTTTATTCAAAATTCTTTACCTTTAGTAAAATAAGCTTTGAGTTGCGAAAGATTTATTATCGGAATAATATCATTCATTGTTTCTATCGGTAAACTTTTTTTTTGTTTTTTTTTATTTGGTGAATTAGTCGTTGTTTGTTGATTAATATCTATTGTAGGATCAAAATCACGATTAATTTCTGTATGTAAAATATATTTTGTACGCATTTTCAAAATAATTGATGTCAATTGTGATTGTTGATCTATGGGTAATTCATGACGATATGTTGTTAAAGAATTATCATCACGCCAAATAAATGCCATATATTCATTTCCGGATGTTATTATTGGTTCTTCCGAAAATGAAAAAACCGAAAAAAATCCAACACCAAATTGTCCAACTGATTCAACATTTGTATTTCCTTCAGCTATAGCTGCAACACGTTTCCAATCAGTTTCATTAAATACTAAACCATTATTTATTGCTCGAATTTCTGTTATAGTTTTATTATGAAAATCTTTTTCACATGATGATGCTGACAAATCATCATTACAAGTTATTTCGAAATGAAACGATGTTGCTTTAGCATCATCAGAATTTTGAATTAATTCTCGACAAACAACAAAATCCGATGAATAACGTGCAAGCATTTTATCGATCAACATTCGTTGATTAACTTCAACACGAGATTCAAAACCAGATTGTAATGCTTTTAAACGAAGAGCATCAGATGATGCTGATTCAATTGAAGAATTTTTTGACATCATTGAATCTAAAAATAAGTCGAAAACATTCCAAGTCTTTCTCAAATGAAGAAAAAAAAGAAATGAAAGCAATTCAAATTTGTCAACTGCTTATATACTGAGATAATTTTACATTCATGTTGCAATTACATTTTCTTTGAACAGGTCATTGAAAACTGATTGGATGAAATCATACTCACCTTTATAAAGAATATTATGTCTTATTTTAATGGCTCCTTTTTTTTCTAATAGAAAAACAACCTATTCAGTAAATAACTGACAACATATAAAATACAAAAATATGAAGATTACAGAAGCGAAAGCAAAGACTAGATTATTCACAAAAAAAGACAGGAACTTAAAAAAAAAATTCATTTATTTTTTTACATATTGAGATGATATGAATTTTGATATATATATTAGTCTAGAGATTTGAAACGAACACGATGGCGAATAGTAGATGGTGGACTTTTTGACGAATGAATTATTCCACTGGCTGGTGTTTTTGATAATAAAGCAGTTGCTGTTGATATTGTTTCATCAGATAGATGTTTTTCAGATTCATCTTCCTCGTCATTGAATCTAAATATTTAATAAATCAAATTTTTGGAAAATAAATATTCAAAACATACTTCCAATCGGCACGTCTTAGAATTCCAATACCAATAAGACATAGAAAAATAAATATTGCAGCACTAAGAATAGTTGTAAAACTAATCAAAGATTTCTAAAAATTGATTTATTTATTAATATTAAATAATAGAAAAACAAAAATATTCTTACGAAATAATTTGGTAATTCCAAATATCTATTAGTTGTCAAATAAGCACAAACTTCTGCGTACATTTCATCTAGAAAAAACAAATTTTGTTTTTTTCTGACAGTAATATTTAACAAAATAATATGACGACGTTTCCTATGAGTCATTCGTACTTTTATTGATGCATAAATATGCATGACTCATATATTTGACAAAATTTTTCTTTCTTTCTACGAGTTTAAAATTACCAAGGTAAAGGTGTTCGATTGTTTTTTTTTCATTCTGTTTAATGACGTCATCATGAATAATGAATCTTACACGGCAACGAGTTAGAAAATAATAATAATTTCGAATATAACCATCGTTCCGATTCATTGACTAAACGACTCGAAATACTTTGTGATATATTTTCTATCGTTTCAACAAGCATGAAGATAACGATACTCGTTTTTCATACGCAAAAAAACAAGAAATCCTCAAGATTATAATCATTATCACTCACGTTGAATATTAACTCGATTATCATGATGAATATTATGTGGAACACATTCGTTAATAACAGACTAAAATTTAAATAGATAAAAAAAAATTTCAAAAAAAATTTTTTCCTTACTGCACATCGACTTCGTAGAATAGTTAATTGTTGTTCATTAATAAATTGTTTTGATTTTCTTATGACTATATCTGGACCACGTGCTAATGGATTTACAGATCGAATTGATTTTTTTGTTTGTTTTAATACATCACATCGAAAAATTAAACAATAATCGGCTAAACATACAGATTGTTCATTCTAAATAATTGAAAATTTTAATACTAAAAAGAAAAAAACAATGAAATATTTTACTTGAATTAATGTATCATTATGTCGATTCGATAGATGTTTATCAAGATGATATTCTGAATAAAATGTTTTATTACAATATTTACATAACCATTGAGTATTTGAGATTTTAGCTTTATTTAATTCTTGCTGATAAAAAATATCACGATTTGGTGAAAAAATACATTCATATGGAATAGATAGATGATTTTTTTCATAGATTGGATAAATTGCCTAAAATTTAAGAAATATAATAAGATTAAAAAAATTGTTTTTTTTCTTATATTAAATTACTTCTATAAAATAATCACGAACAATTCGGCTGTTTTCACGTGAACATGATTGATCACAAACAATAAAAGAATATACAAAATAATAAATAATTATTAATAAATAATAAACATTCATCCTGATAACATCTGAAAAAATATCTACAATTATACATATATATTTGTTTTAAAGTGGAACGATGAATGTTTAGTATACAAAAAAATGATTCTCTTTGTTGTTATTACTGAATAAATCATAGCTTTAACTTTAAAGATTAGGATTAGTTGGTGTCTATCGGTAATTGCTATTCAATTGCATGACATTTCGTCTGTACAATGTTAATGGTCTCTAATGTGTATGTAATATGACATGGTTTTGTTGATAGATGAAATAGTTGTCTAATAGTCTAGATTCTACATAAGAAATACTAAAAATATCTGTATTTGTACATTTAAAATTTTATATTTTCAATAAATTTATTATATCAGGAGAAAATACATTGCAAGATATTTTAGTAAAATCTGTCTTATAGTATTCTCTTTATTAATTAATTCCTTACTACTGTAGTTTACACATATTGTGTCACTTAGTTAATGCACTATACACATCAATCAGTGTCTATATAAGAACCAAAGTGTACGCAAGCTCAGATATTTCTTTTAATAAATAACAAACCTTAGATTATATTTACATTGAAATATTTTGTCTGATCGATTCTGTATAATGATAGCCTAGGAGAAGTGTATTATGCTTTAACAAAATGTTAGTATATTCTATCCAATGAATAGAAGGAATAAAAGCTGTGCAAACAGAAAAAAGTTTCGTCAACGAGACGGTAGAAGAAACAATTTCAACATGATTACCATTGATTAGAATTTTTGTAAGCTGTAATAAAATGTAAAGATGTAAAATTTACTCGATCTGTTATCAGATAAATACGAACTTTTTAATATTTGTTTTCATTACTTCACTATCGAATGATTAATTTTATCTTTTGTTCAAAAATATTATCGATTAACATTAACACTGATTGACATTGTTTATCTGTATATTCTAAATAGCGAAATATTGCACCATCAATAAGTGATAAAATATTTTTAAGAATTATTCTATCATTTATTAAAAGTCATTCAAATGTAAACATATCAAAAGAATATTTGAAATATTATAATACAAAATACATACAAATACCTTGTAGTCAATGTTATACATCAGAATAATGAAGTATTGAATAATCCATCACGAACTAAAACTTTATTGTAATATTTCATCAGAATTTACGATCCTTCATTGAATTGTAAGAAGATAAATACAATGAAATATTCTATTAAAATCTCTGATTATAAATGATAGGATACAAAATCAATTGTTATAATAAATACACATAAATCTATTTTTTTCGATACAATAACAGATAAAATAAAGGTTAATGTTGATGTATAGCATTATAGAGAGAAATATGAGAAAATATCTATGATGAAATGATCGAAATAAATAGAATCTAATATCATTCACCTTTGTTCGAATTTATTTCATTTTTAATTATATTTATTTTCGATTAATCTTATTTCAAAAACATTAACTTACTTGAATAATAACATGAAATAAATCAGTTAATTGCATTGGATGATTTTTAATATAATGAAGTAAATGTACATTCATTTGATGGAATGTTTGAAAACTAAAATAAAATATAATCTAAGACAGATACATATGGTATGTATTTGTTAAAATGAAAAAGGAATGTCATCTTTTGTATTTGTACGGATAGTGTTTCATTACAGTTACTCGTGCAGACATTCTATCATGTTTAACAATCCGATTAAATGTATATTATGTAATGAAATTATTTTACATTATTCAATAAACTTGGGTAACATTTCAATAGTTAAACAGATAGCAGAGATACTTTGTCGTTGAACGATACTAGTATTTGTCTGATTTTTTATTAAAAAGAACAATCTAACATGTTTCTTCTTGTATTTTCAGATAAGAGATGGGTTTGAAAATAGACTGTAAATCATTTCAAGAAACAAAATGTTTCAATTGGAACAATTTATAGTATTATTACACGATAAGTTAAACATAATTCAACAACTCATGTGCAAAAAATGGTCGTCTTCTTCTATTCATCAAAAAGTATCACCAGAACGATGAGATCTGATTTAACGTCGTTTCATTATACCTCTTCAATACTGGATTCTCTGGAAGAAAATAACATGCATTTCGTAACTCGGCGTCAAAATCCTCCAAACGCTCCTCAATGTCGTTCAGTCGAGTATATCCAGGAGGATGAAAAGCTAAAACCTTGAATCAACTGTCGAATCGTATCAAAAAACGGTGACAAGGTGTATGGTTCAAGGGGTTCGAGGGAAACTTTTGAAAATTTGTCTACTCTGTTTATTGTATTATTTTATTATCTATTTTTCATGTTCTTTCTAATAAAAAAAAGAATTAGTTTTATAGCATTTATTGTTATCATACAGTTCAGCTCAACATTTGTGCCAAAACTTTTGCACCAGTCAATATTGTATATATACTGAAGGATAGAGATGTTTTTGTTCAGCCTAATAATCCAATTCACTCATTTTCTCGTGTTTCAAATAATATCTATGGTTCTGATCTTGTCAAAGATACATTTAGCTTTTAAATTAAACTAACTAAAATCAAGTTTAAAAATGTTTGTATGTCATACTGTCTAGAAATTCGAAATATGTTACATTTTATACAATGTTTCACTTAATCTCTAGTGGTATTCTTATTCGGCACTCGAAAAATATCCAACAAGATAAATTCTTTCAGTTTCATTCTCAATAAAAATAACAAAATTGATTTACCTGATTATTTTATTTCCATTCTATTCTAAATTTTATATCTAAAATATCAAAACAAACAAACGATTAATGTTTAAACTATACTAAAACATTTGTTTATTTAAATTAAATTGTCTCTTTAGACAGAACTGTTCTTGTAATATTATTGTTTAAACAATAAAAAATCAAATAAGCAGCTGAAATTTTAGAACGTATATCCACTATTTCATAATCATGATAATATGGCACATTACTCCAACGTGATATTTGAAATTCTGTTTCAAGTCTTGATAATGTCGAAATATTTTCTACTGTACGAAATTGTTTTATTAAACAAATAGTTAATAAAATTGATTTT